AGGGGAACAAAACAAAGTCACTTATCAACTGGCTGAATCAAATTAGCTCACCAAGTCGACAGACAAAATAGCAAAGTAGCAACTGATTTATTGAAGTGGCAAATGAATGAATTGAATAATTTTTTAGGCATATTATAACATATCAGATAAAAATAATTAATCTATTTAAATCTATTAAAAATTCACGTAAAAATTTAATTTATCCAATCCATTTAAAAAAAAATATTCATTCAATCTATTCATCAACAATATTTTCATATATGAATATCTAAATCATCCATAAAAGTAATATTTCAAAAAATAAATTATTTTATTTTATTTTTATTTTATTTTTTATTTCCTTTATAAGTCATTACATTAAAATTCACGAAGACATTTTTTTTGTCAAAACAGTATTTCAAAATCTCAATCCAATAAGTAATTCAATAAATATTAAAAAATAACGGATGAATTATTAATCATACATAAAATTTAATAGATAGATTAAATATAATCTATTATTATTTTATTATAATAAATAAATTACATTAAATTTACTTATAAATAAATCAGATAAATAATAACTAAATAAATTTATTTGTCAGCACCTACTAATTCATCATCCTCTATAAATAATTCCTCTTTTACATCCAGTAACAAATTCCAAATTCAATAAGTTAATTTTTATGATAAGTTGAAAGTGTAAAAGTTTAATCACTATTGAATAAGTAACTCACCTTGTTTCCGGGGTAGACTTTCTCCTTATACCACACAGGCCTATCTCGAAGGTCTATAGGGACCAAATTGATCTTGTCTTGTAGCCCCTGTAGTTTTATTTACCAACAAGAGAAAGAAGAGTGACAGAAAGTCAGAGAAAATAAAATAATAAGCCATAAATCAAACGAAGCCTAATCTAATTAAATAAAATAATTTAAAAGATATGATTGATTAGATTAGTAATATATAATTAGTAGTATACGAATGGTTCACTCTTACATTAAATACATGAATAGATTATTAATCCACAAAGAGGGCATAAGGAAGAAACAACCTTGTAGTTCCTAGCGATCCATACACGTTGTGCAAAGGGGCAACCATAATCGATGTACAACCTAAATGAATAGTAAATAAATATATAAGAAAATGGGGATGTGAAAATTGAAGGAAAAAGTGGATTTTGGAGTGAGAAAATGAACCTGGTGGTGCCATCAAAAAGAGGGGGTGGTTCGGCGGTGGAAGTTAGTGGAGGAGGACGAACGCCACTGTGTGAGTTACAAAGAGAGAGGGTTAGAGAAGAGGATAGTGTTGGAATTAAAACCAAAAAAGTAACAGAGACAGATTGAGAAAATGAAGAATATTGTTATTGATACAGAGTTGCCATGGACCGATCTCAAGGCTTGGATTGATGGACGGAATCCGAATTGTGTCTACGATGAAGCAAGTTTGACCCTTTTATAGAACTCGTGCCACATAATCGTGTCGTCAGCTATGACATAACTTTCCATATGACAAATTGCATGTTTTCTAAGGAGAAGTTTAGTTTTAACACTTAAATGTGTTAAATTTCTTCTTTCAAGTATTTGGAGCTGGATTTAATGTAGAATGGGAAAAGAAAATAAAAAAAATTAGATGTTTGAAATTTTCATGACAAAAATGAAAAATGTCATTACTAATAATGATGTTGTGATTAAACATCATGTACTTATTCATCGGGAGGATCATGTATTTAGTATAAAATCTCGTATTCCAAGTTTATTATATGAAAAAAAAAATTGAGTTACCGACAGTTACATTGTTACAGGTGAGATGTCTATAAGTGAATTGAGAATACTTGTAATAGGACAAAAAATAATAATAAAATGGTACTAAAATAAATATAATTTTTTTATTCAATACCAACTACTTATTCTATTAAAAAAAAAAACTAATTATGGGTACATATTAACTCTCTAAAGTGGGATTACACATGTAAACACTACACTTTTGATAATAAAGGATTTTTTTTAGCGAGTATACCCACCAAAATAAAAATTTAATGATTACAAAGATGTCAAATTCATGTTATAGAAATACAAGGTAAAATTGAATCTTAAATTATATTTATGTGAACCTATAATATTTTAAGGGGATGTTTGATAAAGGAGAAGTTTTTTATAGTTAAAAATCATGATTGCTAGGAATTACAAATATAAAAATTATAATTTATGGGGAACAGTTAAAATACGTTTGGTTATTCATAAAAGTTATAGGAAATATTCACATAAGATTATGAGAATTAAAGATTTTCATGCTTAGTTACACTACTATATTTTTGAGAATATAAATATTTTTTATAAAAATATCTTTTATTAAAATAAACTTATTAAATATATTTATTTACAGAAATGTTATAATAAATATGAATTAAACTATTTTTAAAAAGTTGAAAACTCATAATTAAAATTATTTAAATATAGAATTTAACAAAAAAAAATAAAGAAAAATGCTACATAATAATTAAGAAGGATAAAAATATTTTTTTTTATTTCATTTAAATAAATAAATTAATTACAAATTTAACAAATACTATTAAACTATAAAAATAAAATAAATTTTAATAATATTATTAAAAGGGACAAGGTCAAAAAATAATAAAATACAAAAGAGAGAGAGAGAAATAAAACTATGGGAGGGGGAGAGAGGGAGAGAGAGGGTGAGAGAGGGAGAGAGAGAGGGGGAGTGAGAGTGAGAGAGATTGGGAGAGAAGAGGGGGAAAAGGAGAAATAGAAGGAGAAAGGGGGAAAGAAAGAGAGAGAGAGGGAGAAAAAGAAATAGAAGGAGAGAGATAAAGAAGGAGAAAGAGGGAGGGGGCAGTGAGAGAGAGAAAAATAGGAGAGAAAGAAAGAAAGAGATTTTCTATTTTAAAAAAATGATATTATAATCTTTTTATATAATTAAATTTTTTTTCTAACTTGGAAAAGTTAGAATCTTTTATCATAGGAATGTTTTTATGAAAAAGTGAAGTAAGAATTATTTCCAAAAAATTACATTTATGAGAATTTTTTTTAAATAATTATTAAATATAAGAAACTAAAATTCACACTTTAAAATTCTTATAAATATAAAAATATTTAGAGTGAGTGTGCTAATATTTTTCATTGATATAAAAGCAATAGTTTGTACATTCTATGTCAAGTTGGCATGAAAACACATTAGTATAGGATTTCAAAGTAATTTTACATGTCTCAACATTAAACCAAAATTACACTTACATTTCATTCATACGAGATGCTTTCAAAGATTCAAGGGAAGCAAACAATGGTTTTGGCCCTTTATCTCTTCACTCTTTAAAAAAAATTTAAAGTAAAATATTTACTATAATAAATATATGATTATAAAGAGAGATTTGAAAGTTACTATATATATTTTATATTGTTTATAAATATTATGATTTAGAAGAATGGGATAACGAGTTAGGTAAACGGTATAATATATTTTGCGATTATGATCGAATATTTTCAAAAATCTATTATTAAAAAAAAAAAAAAAAGTCACCCCTTTAGAGTGTTCTAATCCATTTCTGAATGATTAAGTGTTCAGGAAAAATAAATAAATTATAGCGCTCAGTAAAGAGAATTGTGTTCGAACAATCGAGAAAAACGAAGAATTTTGGTCCACAGTTGGTTGGAGTTGGATACTAATCTGAATCAAAATTCTGTCTACATTCAAGCAAGTTCCCCTTTTAGAGCAATTTTAAAGTAGTTCCTACTTAGGTAACTATATCTTACTCAATTACATTATTAAAATGAGTTAATATGATTTTAATCTTTTTGAATGAAATTTGTCTTCGATCTTTTGTAAAAGACGTCTTTTAATTAATTATTTTTTATTTTCTTTCTTTCATAGGATGAGAAATATCACTAATCAAAATTGTTTTTATTTACTATGTGATTTTTTATATATAAATTAAAATAAAAATTTTACATGATAACTTTTTAAGAATAAACTATCATTTAACAATAGTGTTCTTTACTATTACTTTTTAATGAAGGTCATTTTTTTAATCTTATTCTCGTTAATCTAATATTTTAGTATTTTAGTAATAATGTGGATAGTGATAATGATAATAATAATAATTAATAATTAATAATTAATAATTAATAATAGGTAATAGTGTTGGTATTAATAGCAATGATAGTGTTACTAATAGTAATAGTGCTAGTATTGATATGGAGACAGATTATTATTAAATATAGTTATAGTTTATTTTTTAAGAACTAAAATATCAAATTTACAAATAAGTTTTTCTTAGTTTAAAAATGCATATAAGTGTTTTAAAAATAAATTAAAACCATTTAAGCTCAAACACATTTTATTTTAAAAATTACATTTGAAAACCAAATATTCTCCAAAGCAGGAACTGAAATTCTTAATTCTTATGAAATGATTAAAGAGAAAAGCCCTGTTAAATAGAACTATAAAAAGTAAACCTTATACTAAATAACATATGAATGACAATCATATGTGTCATCATCAAGTATTTTAGAAAATTAAAGTAAAGCTAACATTAATAAATAAATAAAATAATATTTTTAAAACCACCTTATTAAATATTTAAACCATTTGGTTTTCCTTTTGTAGACCTCTTTAAACCCATCCTATCAATTTGAAAATGGAGAGTGGAACTTGTTGGTAAATTTTCACTTGTAACTTTTTTACCTTATATATTCAGACACATACTTGAATCTTTTATAAAGAAAAAATGAAACATTTATAATACAAAAAAAAAAAAAAAAAAATACGAAACAAATACTTTTAAGTAAAAAATTGATGGCACGTATTTTTGTGTGAATTTTTTTTTTTATCTAAATCCATAAGTTAAAAAAAATTATTTTTAACTGATAATTTAGAACTTGTTTGATTTAAAATTAAATTAATTAATTTCAAATCATTTAATGTAATTAAAATGTGTACCTAAATTAATTCGAACCACATTTTACACTAGAACATGTATCGCTGTGTGAAGAATTTCATCACGGAGATTTGCCAAAAACTGAGAATTATGCTTTTTAGCATTAAACATCAACTTAAGCCTTAGGACAGGCTACAAATTATTCATTGGCAATTACACCAATGTATTGAATAAACAATTATTACTACATGGTTTACATAAAAGAAGAAAGACCGGTTCTTATTGTTTTGGGGAGAAGGTTGTAGGGGTAGAGAGGATGATGCAATTGCTTGGTAAATATATGCAATCATATAGAGCTCAATCCATCATGAATTGGAATTGACTATTTGAGTTTCTAAGTTAGTCAGACTTCTTACTAGCCAGACTTAATACCACTCCGATGCTAAGACTTGAGGCTACAAAACCAAGAGATGCCTCTGTTGAGACATGGATTCCTGTAGGAATAAGAAGATGTGAAAATTCAAGTACAGCAAATTTTGTATAAATTGTTAAATGGACAAATAAAGTATACTCACCAAAATAGTCCAGGATCATCTTAACCCCAATAAATCCCAGAACAACAGCAATGGACGGCTAAACAAAACCAAAAAATGGATATCAATAACAAGGATGGAAGCATAAATAAACCGAAGCATTGTAAGATACTACCACAACAATGAATATTCAGCATGCAATATCCTGGATAGCAGAAAATGAAAATCTCAGTAGCAGCTTGTGCAAAGAAATAAAAAAGGACAAGTTAGTGTGAAGGCTCCCACTAGTGAAGTCTAGGGAGGGTAGATGTTCGCAGCCTTACAGCCCTTACTCCTTGTTTATCCTTAAATCCAAAGAAATTATTGGGATGCCCTTAGATAAAATGTAGTATAAAATACTATATTTGTGTATCTTACAATCATAATTCGTTTCATGATTTATTCACATGGAATTAACTACTATTTGTCATGATTCAAACCAATTAACATGGTAATATCTTGGAACCAAAACCTATGACAGAACTAGAAATTTGAGATTCTCGATGATGTATGTCAAAGGGACCATCAGTAATTTGGTTTCTGAAAAGGAATTGAATAAACAATACTGGATTTAAGATGTAGATGTGCAATTGAAATACAACCCCACTTCGGCTGCCAGAGAAAATATTTAGTGTCCTAAAGATGCATTGTTCTGTCTGGCACATAATACCCTCCGTCTCTACAGTTTCCTGCTAGGTGACAGTAATACTGATAGATGTAAATGTCAATTGGCATAGTTTTTTTTTTTTTTTTCGTTTATGAAATTAAGGTTTCAATTTGGGATAATTTATTGTTATTTGTTATTTAGAATTTTATTCTATTTTGGATTATCTTCTTAGGGTGTCGGGAGTTCAAAGAAATCATTATTGTAAATAGTTGACCTTTTGTATCACTCTTGGTTCCTGTCCTAATCCAAAGAAATTATTGGGATGCCCTTAGATAAAATGTAGTATAAAATACTATATTTGTGTATCTTACAATCATAATTCGTTTCATGATTTATTCACATGGAATTAACTACTATTTGTCATGATTCAAACCAATTAACATGGTAATATCTTGGAACCAAAACCTATGACAGAACTAGAAATTTGAGATTCTCGATGATGTATGTCAAAGGGACCATCAGTAATTTGGTTTCTGAAAAGGAATTGAATAAACAATACTGGATTTAAGATGTAGATGTGCAATTGAAATACAACCCCACTTCGGCTGCCAGAGAAAATATTTAGTGTCCTAAAGATGCATTGTTCTGTCTGGCACATAATACCCTCCGTCTCTACAGTTTCCTGCTAGGTGACAGTAATACTGATAGATGTAAATGTCAATTGGCATAGTTTTTTTTTTTTTTTCGTTTATGAAATTAAGGTTTCAATTTGGGATAATTTATTGTTATTTGTTATTTAGAATTTTATTCTATTTTGGATTATCTTCTTAGGGTGTCGGGAGTTCAAAGAAATCATTATTGTAAATAGTTGACCTTTTGTATCACTCTTGGTTCCTGTCCTACATCACTAAAGCATTCCTTTATTACCAAAGTGAAAATTGTTTATCTTTTTTAAAGGATAAATTAGCAAATACAAGTCAAATCCAGTGTGATCACACTCAAGCCATGTCTTTCTAAAGTTTCTGTTTCCCACTCAGACCACAAAATGATGTCTATTTTTCTGCAATAATTCTGCTCCCGACAAAAAAGTGCATTAGTTTTTTTTTTTTTTTCTTTTTTCTCAACACTATTTAGGATGAAGTGGCAAGCTTCAATATAAGCAAGAAGCCCAAGAAGAACAATGTTGAAGTGATATCAGAACCATATTTCAAGTCCCAAAAGTAATAAACATGGTTATGCTGAAGGATAGACATGTAATTATGTAAACAGAAAACAATTATGCAGCAACCAAGGTATATCAAAACAGGCCAAGTCAACATTTACCTGCAAGTACTTCAACTCTGACATACCCTCAGAAATTATCAGGTAAAGTGACCTTAAACCTGCATTTGACAAATAACAGTCGTTTAAATGTAAATAAGTTTATGAGGAAAAGCATTGATAATTGTCTGACAAAAGACAAATACACATCTGATCTGAGATTATGACAAAAATGAACTCATTTTGTATCTCCACCTCCACAAGGCAGTAAAGTAGAGAAATAAAGTTACAAAAGAACCACTTCTGAGCAACAAATCCTGTGTTATAAAATTATTTATTACAATATTTTGCACACGCAAATAGTTGAACCATCCTTAAAACCAGAACTGCAGTAGGTAAGCTTTCCAGGCATCAATCAAGGACACTTACGGAACACAAATCCCAATTCCAAAACACTACAAAAAAACCAAATTCACATATACACAAGGGAAACAAAAGAAAGAAAACTAACCCAAAATGGCAAAAAGATTAGATGTAAGGACTACAAATGGATCCCGTGTTACACCAAAAACTGCCGGTATTGAGTCAACCTAAAAAAAATTGAGTCAACATTCCAATGCCAAATTAACTAGAAATTCCACATGAAATAGATAAATGAGAAAACCTACTGCAAATGCAATGTCACTGAGTTCGATAACAGCTACAGTAAGAAGCAAAGGGGTGGCCTGCCCAAAATGTTTGATCCCTGTTAGAAATCAAGTTGAAATTAATTTAATTCCTAAAAAATATTTTTTTATTGAAAAAGAAAGAATAATGATAATAAAATAAATAGTTCAATGCATTCATGCTGGGAAAAGATAACAATCGATCAAAATAACAACAATAACAAAGTAATTTTAATTCATTCTGACACTCATCAACAACTTACTTTCCAAACTCCATCAAGATTTGTTATGAATCGATTTCCATCATAATACGCTGCAAAAATTTTGTCAGAAGTTAGACTTTGGATGATAAGATAACAACACAGCACAAATTGAATCAGTTCAAACAATGGCATGCCAAGTAAAATGTATATACCAACAATATATTTTGCATTGGACCATAGTAGCATTAGCATACATATAGAGGTGTAGCCACTCCTTTGTATATCTATGTAGGTATTCTAATCAAACATTCCAAAAAGGAACAGTGGATTAACCCAATATTCTCCAGTCCAGCTTATACAAGAAGGAAGCTACAATAGGATATACCTATATCCACAATTCTATAACAGAATACTCATGAAATCAAAATTATTCTTTGCATGTACCAAACAACATGAGTTGTACTTACATGGACATATGCAGACAATTCCATAAGAAATGGAAGGGAAAAAAAAAAGTTTCCTAAACCTCAGCCAAAGTAAGCTTTGATTCAGCTATTTCTACTTAAACATACATTTGAATGTTAACTAATTCAGATTCAGTTTTCTACCGATGTTTATGATTTTTCAAAGTAAGAATTAAAATTCAATATCATAATACCAAAGAAATCAGCAACAAATCTCCAAGTAGGAAAAGAGAAATAAATAATCATGATTAGAGAACATTACTTGTTACAGGGATAAATTTCTGGCAGGTCTTCACCACAAAGTTTTCAGATAAGTCAGACTCGTCTTCTTCACTGGCAAATAGCTATTCATAAAACAATAAACATGCTGTGATTAAAGCCAGTCCATAGAATTGTGAATGCTACCAACATCAAGAAGTATGAACTATGAACCTCCTAATATATTGTTAGAGATTTAAACCATTCAGGTGCTTCCATCTAAAAGTTTAATCTTGTAGATGATTTTTGTTGATATCATATATAAGCCTCTTTGACTAGGTAGCCTGGAGTTTGATCCTCGTGACTCTCATTCTTTCATAATTAAACTAAATTTCAGTGGTAATAAAATGTTCAATATCATGCTTTGAGCACAAATTAGCATGACAATGTTAGGTATATTAATATTCATGGGCTTCAACCTAATATTTTAAGCTTTTAAGGATCTTGTTTCCTTGACAAACATGAACATGGGCGGTGTTATAAGAAAGCAATATGAGGAATTTAAATATTGGAAATTGTGAATCCTCCTCACCTTAAATGATGAGTAGAGTAATATTGCGGCCAAGAAAAGGTTGACTGCCTCAAACCTCTAAACATTATCATAATTAACAAGATGATCAGAAAATAGTATAAAACTTGCTGAAAAAGGTAAAATATGCAAAGAAATATATCCATCATGAAACACACCTGAAGGGTGGCTGTTCCAATAAGTATTAATGTCAGCCGAAAGACAACTGCACCAGCAATACCATAGGAGAGCACACGATTCTGTAAGTTAAAAAAAGTACATGAAAACTGATCAATTAACTATTTTTTATTGTTAAGATAATATTAACAAATTCAGAATCAAGAACTTGATAAAACATGAAGTTAAAATTGTGCACAGTTTACCCATGAAAAGAAGTTTCATACATAACCTGATATGTAACTGGCACTTTGAAGTAATTGAATATTAGAACAAAGACAAAGAGATTATCTACAGAAAGACTTTGCTCCAATATGTACCTACGAAGTACATAAAATTCAGAAGATCATCATCCCAGTAAGTACAAAGCTAAAGTAAGTGAAAGCAAAGCAGAAAGAGGAAAAAAGTGGTGCCACCATAGTTCAATCCATAAAGTTAGTATTCATGAATCCCAAAATAAACAATCCAATACATAGAAGAGCAGCAGAAGCAGAACAAAAGGCATATGAAACACTCTAAATGATAAGTAAACTTAAAGAAACTTTGCATAATAGCAACTTTGATTCATCCAAATTATTCTAGCACTGTAAAATTGGACAAACTTTCTAGTTGATAACCAAATTAAATTATTCCTCATACCCAGCAAAGAATTCGGAAGCCTTGTCAAAACCTTCCTTAAAACCCAAACCAACACCAAATGCCACTGCAGCACACACCTATATGAAACCATAACTAAATCAATGTATTACAAACAACCAAAGAAAACATAAAAGAAACAGTAAAAACACAATTAACAGGGATTTGCCCACCCATAAGGCTACAGTTCTAACAGAGGAATTGTAATCTTCATTTGCCACAGATTCCTGAGTAGGAGATTTGTCAATGTTGCCAATGTCATCCTTTGGTTGGGCACTAATCCTCTTTACCTCTGCACATTCATCCAACTAACACTTACAATTACTTTGAGACATAAATTTTACACATAATACTAGCATCATAAATGAAGAATAGCCTAGCCTCTAAGTCCAAGATGATATCATTACAAATTTATAACTGTAACATACAGTAAATGGCTATGGCTATGAACCTGATTGGATACAAGCTTCTCTACCTAGAATAAAGAACTTTTTTCTGTAAAGAAGCTCTCAAATTTTTTTGAAGTTTATATTCAATCAAACTCCACGTACACATAATTTGAAGTGAAAAGACAAGTGAATTTTGGTTCTTACTCAGTCCTACAAATCCAATTTCCAAGATAAGAGTTGTGCCCCACATGTATACACTACTTAGGTCTTATCATTAATACATGCTGCATATAAAAAAAATTTAAATTTTGTTGTTTAATAAGATGGGGCAGTGACCTGGGGCATGATTGTGGTAGCGAATTGGTGTGGAGCATAGAATTGGAAAACGGCGAGGAGGACGATAATGGTGGACTGCGACGTAGAGAGAAAACCCTGATATTAGTGACATGATTGGGTTGGGAAAAGAGAGAGAGAGAGAGAGAGAACATACCTGAGGAAAAGGAAGAGATGGGATAATGAATTGCAGAACATCTGAAAGGAGAAGGAGAGTGTGAAATGGTGAGATCCAAGTTGAACGGAATTCGGATGACAGAGGCCAATCCCATAACTCTTGGATTGGGCTCACTGCACAACAATGAAATCAAACTCAGAGTGGGAATGTGGCCAAAGATGCTATGTTATGCTCTTCTCCCACCGCTTTGTTTCCACCAGAATTATAAGGATAAGTTCTTCCTGTACTAACACTGGTCACGCTCGCACTCAATTCTCACCATCCCTACCTTCAACGGGATTCTAATACCAAATATTTTAACGGCTTAGAATGTTAGGCCATATAATTTTACCAATTTTTTTGTTCTGGATTTTGTCTAATAGTTTCAGAAATTAATTCTCATACGTAATTTTAAATTGAAAAAAAAATATATTAATGTGTTTATCAGTGATATTATCCGACAATTATTTAAGAAGCGTTTGTTTCGAGTAATAAATTTTTGTTTCTAAAAATATTATTTCTATAAATATAATAACAGAAATAACATTTCAAAGGCATTTTTTCTATAAAAAAATATGTTTGTTAGTGTTGAGAATATATGCTTATCAAAGTGAGTATAAAGAAAGATAAAATAGATAAAAATAAAATTTTAATTCTCACATCATGAAAATTAACATACCCACTTCTTTCTTTAGAAAAATTTTTTGTTGACATTTTTTTTCTTCTAATATCTTTCTTTGGTGATAAAGCTAAAGTAATGTTACACCTACATTAAAATTGTACAATAACAATTTGTACGATATTATTTTTATATTAATTTCTTTCTATCATTTTATTTATTATGAACGTATATTATTGATGATAATAAAAGTTTTATGTAAAAATAACGTTATACAAATTATTATTATCCGTGTAACATTATTTTATAAATAAAGCTAAAATAACTTTATGGTGTGTTTGGATGAGGAACTTAGGATACACATTTCACTTATCCTTGTTGTAGCGAGTCTGATCCTGGGTCTTGGTCTTCTTGTTCCTATCCGGGTAGTCCGATGTGAGGGGGGTGTGCCTGCAAAGACACTCCAACGCTCAAGTAAGTGCTCGGCGTAATAAATGTGGTAGTTGAAAGTTAG